GACAGGAGATGCCCTCCACGACCACAGTCAAAACTAGATTGTGGGGGCCGAGAAGGACCGCCCTGCAACATGGCTATCAGCGGAGGTTTTGGAGTCCCGAAATCTTCCATCCGTTTTGCTGCGACTCCAACTTTGGCCTGTTGATTCTTTCTTTAACAAAGGCTGCAGCTTGGTGTCATTGGGGTCCCAACATCTGGCATATATTGATGTGGTGGGGTTCCACTGGCCTGAATCCCACAGCACCTGTTCCTGGTTTCATGTAGATGTAGATGAACCATTTTTTTAAAAAATGATTTATATGCCGCCCTTCTGTGAAGACTCAGGGCAGCTTACAATGTGTTAAGCAATAGCCTTCATACTTTTGTATATTTATACAAAGTCAGCTTATTGCCCCCACAAACTGGGTCCTCAATTTACCTACTTTAGAAAGGATGGAAGGCTGAGTCAACCTTGAGCCTGGGAAGATTAAAACTGGTGTAATTGCAGACAGCTGGATGTTAATTACGGTGCTTTAGTCTTTCTTTTGATGACATACTGACATACTGAATGTAGAAATAGGAATATGGAATGCAAATAGGAATCTGGAAAGGAATTAATCATGATATTCATTGCTTAGATCATCTCAAATATTTCTCTTTTAGAAGATGCCCTTTGCCAGGTGTGGTATGAGGAGGTGCCATGCAGGAGAGAGGAGAAGAGTTCCAGAGGGCAAGCAGGTTTGCTGCTACCAATGTGATGCTTGTCCAGAAGGGACAATTTCTAATCAGACAGGTAGTGGAGACATCAAATGTCGGTCTTCCAGATCAAGGAAGACATTTCCTAAATCAAAATATTTTTTATTATTGTTGTTATTTTTTATAAGATTGACATGCATTCATACTTTTCAGCAGAGCCTTTCAGTTGATGGAACAAAACTGCCCTGGCCACTGAAGCCACCTTTCCCAATCCACGGAAATTTCATGCAGGCTAGTTTTAGGGCACAATTTATAAATCCCTGTCTTGCATTTCCATTCCTATTACAATAGTCAATTAGGAAAACCAATTTCCATTTTTTTTTCCTGAAGGAAAGGATTTTGCAATTAATTTTTATTATTAAGAGTTTGCTTCTTCTCTCAGCTCAATCAATCTCTGATGAAATAGACCTGAGAGAAAAGATGGAGATCTATCTATCTATGCCTTCCCGATAGAACAGGAGGAAACAAAAAGCAAAAGTCTATTCTTTGCTTATAGACGAATAGACGAAGTCTATTCGTACATATTTGAAGTACGAAGCAGAGAGGTTAACACAGGGGTAACCAACAGTTAGCCTGGCTAGGTGGCTCAGTGGCTAAAATGCTGAGCTTGTTGATCAGAAAAGTCGGCAGTTCGGCGGTTCGAATCCCTAATATAGGTCTCCTGCGTGAGTGGGGGGTTGGACTAGATGACCTCCAAGGCCCCTTCCAACTCTCTTACTGTTAAAAAAAAGTAGTCTACATACTAACAAAATGGCAGCATTCCTGTCTGACTGGTCTATCAGTTTTTGTGGGTTCAAGTATATAGTGGGGAAAATAACAGGTCACAATTTGAAACTGAAAGCCACAGTAATCAGAGAAGCGTCAAGGGAATGGACAGCTGAATCTGAACAAATCCTTGTCACTGGCTAACCGATCCCCAGGATCATCATGAATAAAGGATGAATGGCTGTTTTTCATGCCCCATAAATTGCACAGTGGGTCATTCATCACCCCCTTTGTTGGTTGGTCACAATTCAAAGGGGACAGTTATGTCATCTCTGCGGGAGGGCTAAAGTTCATGAGAAGTACCCTTGAAAGTCTTAGATAATGAATCTTGATTTCAGATGCAGCTCACTGTGAACCCTGCCCAGAAGACCAGTATCCCAACAAGGACAAGGATCAATGCATTGCCAAGAAGATCCACTTCCTTGCCTATCAAGACACCCTGGGATACATTTTAGTTTTTCTTGCTCTTTTTCTGTCTACTATAACATGTGCAATCCTGATTATTTTCTATAAACATCATGATACCCCGATCGTCAAGGCCAACAACAGAGATCTCACCTACATCCTCTTGGTCTCCCTCCTGCTCTGTTTCCTCTCCTCCTTCCTTTTCATTGGTCAGCCAGGGAAGATCACCTGTCTCTTCCGACAAACTGCTTTTGCCATTCTCTTTTCCCTTGCAGTTTCCTCTGTGTTGGCAAAAACGGTCACAGTGGTTCTGGCCTTCATGGCCACCAAGCCAGGGAACAGAACAAGGAAACTCTTAGGAAAATCACTGACCAACTCCATTGTTATAGCCTGTCCCCTGGTCCAAGTAGTTCTTTGTTCCACCTGGCTAGGGACTGCTCCTCCATTTCCCAGCTGGGACTTTCACTCCTTGTTTGGAGAAACCATCTTGGAATGCAAGGAAGGCTCAGATTTAATGTTTTATATTGTCCTTGCCTACTTAGGTTTTTTGGCCTTCATCAGTTTCATAATGGCATTTCTGGCTAGGAAATTGCCCGACAGTTTTAATGAAGCCAAGTTCATTACTTTTAGCATGCTGGTCTTTTGCAGTGTTTGGATCTCCTTCCTCCCTACCTACCTGAGCACCAAAGGGAAGTCCATGGTGGCTGTGGAGATCTTCTCCATTTTGGCCTCTGGAGCTGCTCTCTTGGCCTGTATCTTTTCCCCCAAATGCTACATTATTCTACTGAGGCCAGATCTGAATTGTAGAGAAAATATAGTAAGGAACAAGAATTTCTAATTAATGCAAGGATTGGCCTCATTTATATTTGTCTTTGAAGCATGTTTAGAATGTGATATTTAAAAAAAAAATGTTGAGAAGGAGGAACTTATTAAGTGCTGCAACTGGTTATTATTTACTTGTGGTCCGTAACTATCATCCAGCCTTTGTTTATCATGTTTTCAAAGTGTCCTCAATTATGTCCAATGCTCTGATTTGATGGAAATCATATGTGTAAAGATGTGTTAATTTTTACAGTGGAAAAATTCTATTTTTATTCCTTTTAATTTAATCCAATGCTTAAGTAAGTACTTTAAAGGGATGCTTAATGCTTTAAGCAAATATGGCTTTTTTGTTAAATATCTGAGGCTTTCTTTGAATTGTCAACCACTATTCCATTATTTTTGAAATGGTAGAGTTTAAATCCACCTCACATCCAGATCTGCTATACTTCCTTGTCAATGTCAAATGGAATTTTCCTGAGATGGATGAGCAAAGTATGCCATAATTGTATAAAGTATGTTATCATCTTTTGTGACAGTTCATCTCTTTGGCTTTCTTGGTAAACCATGGTGCTCTATGAGATCTGTGTGGATAGAGAGTCTCCAGAGGAATAATTCAACCAATGCGCAGGATCACAATCTAATTTCCTTAATGAGTATCTGTTTTTAGCAAGATCGTCCAGGGTATGACTGTAATCCCAGTTTCCTAACTAAAGTCAGGAGGCATCTGTCAATCACCCAATCCCAGGACATGTAATTTTTAAAAGATGATAACCAGCACCTTGAATGGTGTCTTGGAAGACCCTGGGAGCCATTGCAGCTCATGCAACAGAAGTCTATCCTACAAACATCTGATATTGTAATCACCACTTCATTTTGGACCAACTGCAGCTTTCAAGGAGTCTTCAAGGGTAGCCCCAATGCAAGAACATTGCAGGAGTCCAAATGGGAAGTGACCAAGGCACTTTGAGCAAAACCACCACTCCTGGGAAGTGCACGATTGGTGTGTTGATGATAGCTTCTCCATTCCCATCAGATGGACTCTCATCTGAGAAATAGAAACCTAGGAGAAATGTGTGCAAATTGGCCCATAAAATAGCAAAGTCGATTTTTTTTTTGTTTTGTTTTCAATAAGCTTTAACAAAATGCCTACGGCAATGTAACTGATACATTCTTTTATTAAGAGAAAAGTTGTTTGTCTAGAGACATTAGAAGGGTGGAGAAATAACAAGAGATTTGTTAATTACAAATATGTATGCTTACATCATCTATTACTTATGTATATATGATTTTCTCCTCTTTTTTCCTGAAATGGATAAATATGAGTGCATCCTTTTCCCTTTTGGAGTTCTTCCCAGTATTCTCTGGACAGGATTTTTCCGGATTATACTCTTAACAATAAAAGCTGCCATGAGATTTGATTATTAGTTTTCAGTCCTGCATTTCATTCACAGTGGTTTTGGGAGGGAGGGGGCTTGACTTATAGGGACACATTCTTCCAGTTGCACCCTGAAAGTTGGTGGATTTGATTCAATCTCCCAACCAACATTGAATGGAACCACCTTCAGATGAAGGAGAGACTCACATAACAGTATGCACACATTCTCTGTTACTCCAGTGTCTAATTTCATCCCCTTCCATGTGGTTACAAATAAACTAGTTATTCCATCCAAGCATTGCTCACAGTTTCAAGAATATAACTGATTCTCATGTGCCACAAAACCCCATTAGCACTCATACAAGCTGACCAACTATGGCAAAGGCCAAATTCCATCTTGTGTGCAGGGGGTCAGGTTCATGAAGGTGAAATTCACAACTTCAGCATGACTTCATCTACTCTTTGCATTACAAGAAACACAAACATGTTTTTCCATTCTGGTGTATGAGAAGCTATTGCTACGTGGGTAGAACAATTGCTTTTCCTTGCAATTATCAGAAGTACAGTAATTCATAGTGTGTCCCCTGTGGATTTCTAGTTACAACACCTTCTAAGATAAAACCTGCTATAAAAATATGTCTGAGTTTTCCAGATGGGGGCAGGATATGTCACTTTAGCCTGCCTTGCAAAGAGCTCAATCCTGGGTTTCAAGAGACTCACATGCCTTTGTTTCCTCTATGGTCACAGGCCAAACACAGGTAAGAAGAAGCATAGTTTATATAAATTTGTCCTGGTGCCATCCAGGAAGCACAGGTGAAGTCTGATCTGCTAAAGAACCAGTGAGATTTTAGGAGCAATCTTCAATTCAGTTTCTGCATAAACCTTGATTTTTGTTCTAGGAGGGAAGGTGGTAAGAATGACCAGGCAGGAGTCATGCTACTGCTGATGCTGATGCTCTTCTGGCTCCTGGCTCCAACTACAGCGAAGAGGCTGCAAACCATATGTGTGTTCAGGGATTATATCCAGTTAGAGGAAAGTTACTATAGGCCTGGTGATCTCATTATTGGTGGGAATTTGCCCTTGGGAGCCAGTTTTGATTCTACTGTCCCACGCTTTAATACATTGAATCTTCTTTTAGATAATGGGTAAGTTTCAGATGGAGGACAAACATACATCTAAATGGTCTTTTTGCTTTAAATTCTGGGACCCCTTTTACAAATAGTATTTCTAGATTTTTGCAGTGTCCTAGTATGCTATACTATATGTATAGAACATTTTGTGCTTATTGCAATAAAGTACTAAGCCTTTCAAATAGTCTGGACTTCTCAATCTCTTTCCCAAGGAAACAATAAAAAACAAACATGAAGAGGGAAGCTGTGCTGGCCTAGTGAAGAAGTCAAATTACAATATTAATCTGGACAGTAACTTGGGGTGGAAAATTGAAATAAAAGCTCAACCCTCTTCCAGTGTTCAGGAGTTACAAAAATCCTTCTCAACATTGGAATCAGCATTGCTGATGAATAATGGCCTTCAGTACATCTATGAGGTGACCCCCACTGTAGTCCTGTGCTCAGCAATCTTTACCCCACCTGAAGAAGCTGCTCCAAGAGAGACCTTAAATAATTACGGTGAAAGAGGAACAGTTGGGAAGGATTACAACCATTAGAGCAAAGTGAACTTGGGAGAGATTATAGAGGGTTAAAAAACAGCCATTGATATGGATGGAAATGCTTGTTTCCTTTCTCACAGTCATTCAAATTCAGCAAAGAAAGACTGTTTTTTAAAAAAAAACACCAAACCCAATAAAATGTGGGTGTTGCTGCCCCAAGCCCTTCCCCCCAACATACAGTGAAGCAAGTTCTACCAGCACACAAGCTTTCCTCTTCTGCAAAGCCACCTCCCACCCCCAGAAGAATGAAATATTGTGAGGGATATTTTAAAAAGGCAGAATATTATATTTCCCTAAATGAGAAATGGAGAAACATGTTTTTTTAGAGGCAGGAAGCAGATACTTTGTGCCCATTAAGAAAGATTGTGCTAGATTTGAGCTAAGAGATATAATGATGGGGGGGGGGAGGAAATGGCTAGCTGAACTGAATAAATGTTAAATTAGGATTTACTATATAGTCCTATGGTGGAAGGTTGTTTTGAAATGTTATATTAATATATACAAAAGATTTGACTTAAGAGATATACGTATGGGGGGTAGTAAAAGGGTAGATTATGAGCGGAAATCGCTAAATTGGGAGATATAATAATATTATTATGTTAAATTAGGAGTTATTAGATAATGTTACAATAGAATGTCACTTTGAAATGTATAGCATAGTATAGTATAAGGGGGATATGATAATTTTATTAGAAAGAAAGGGTCAGTATATGGAGATGGAGTAAGTGGATGGTAAAGTATGATATAATCTGTTATGAATTTGGTTTTATTATGAAGAAGTCACAGGGGAAGGGGAGGGTGAGGGGGGGTTAGGGAGGAGGGGGGAAAAGGGGGAAAAATCTGTATTTGAAAAACTTTTTCAATTAAAAAAAAAAAGATTGTGCCAAACGATCTATTTTCCAGAGTTGTGCTAACGCTAGTCTAGCTGCCATAATAATGTGGAGTATTAAATATTTTATATCGTTTCTAATATTCTTTTTAATCATGCCTAATAAAAAGACTTCGGGTTCTAATTCAATTTCATAGTCTGTTATTTCTACTATCCATGTTTTTATTTTGTTCCAATATTTCTTAATTTCTGGGCAAAGCCACCAAGCATGGTAAAAAGTTCCCTGTGTTTTTTTACATTTCCAACAGGCCGGATTTACATTCGGGTACATTTTTGCTAACCTTGCGGGGGCCAGATACCATCGGTACCACATCTTATAGTGATTTTCTTTATAAGCTACCGATTTTGTCATGCTGTAATTGTTTTCCCACGCTCTTTTCCAGTCTTCTAACTGTATACTGTGCCCAATGTTCCTCACCCACGCTATCATCTGCCCTTTAACCAATTCTTCTGCCAAATCATATTCAAGTAAATATTTATAAATTTTCGAAATTAATTTCCCTTCTTTAGATTCTAGTAATTTGTCCAATCGATTTTGTTTTAAGTCTATTCCTCCCTCCTCTTGGTCCTTTCTATATTTTATCTTTATTTGTGAATAGTCTATTACTATTCCTTGTTCTTTAAGTTCTTCCCTAGTTTTCAATTTCCCCTGTACATCTACTATTTCTCTGTATTTTAAGATTTGCCAACTGACCAGGAACTAATACAAAAAATCTATATATGCACAGAAATGGACAAACTAATTTTAGAGTTACAGGACAAGGAAGACTCAAAATACTTTACAATATGGAATAGATGGTACCAGTGGATAAACCAGAGGAGGGGGAATGGTTAAAAATGAAATTTAGAAGAAATCAACACAATTAAAAACAGCACTGTCAGATGGATAGAAAAGGAAATAAGTCACTGTGTGTATGTACATATGTATATATAATAATAGAAAGTAGTCAATAGATGAAATTGAGTACTGTATATGTACTGTATATGTAATTTTGTTTTTGATTAAGAGAAACTTGTATGTTTTTTATATTTGTATTTTATATTTGTTTTAACGAATAAAGTTTGTTTTAAAAATTAAAAAAAAAAACAGAAAGAAAGAAAGATTGTACCAGCCTATTCAGAAACCAGCCGCAGTCTCCCTGCCCCCAAGCAGAAACCGAGGAGGCCACCTTTTAGAAATGCAGATTTGGTAATCCATTCAAGACAGGATATTTTGAAACAAAGGAGGAATGGTGGGATTAGAAGCAACCCTTCATTGCATCACCTCCAGAGCAGTCCAAACTTCAACCAAATTAGCTCAGACAAGCACCTAGGATTTGCTTCAGTGGTGAAATCTAAAATTTGTTACTACCGGTTCTGTGGGTGTGGCTTGGGGGAGTAATATGACTGGGTGGGAATGGCCAACTTTTTTTTTTTTTTTACTTTTAAAACCATTTTTTCTTCAACCTCTTCGGCCAGAGGTTGTAGAAAAAAATGCTTTTAAAAGCCTCTGATGTTCCCAGCTGAGCCACGCGATCATCAGGCTTCTTTTTTACTTTTAAAAGCATTATTTTCTGCCAAAGAGATTGTAGAAACAATGCTTTTAAAAATAAAAAAAAAAGCCTCTGATGATCGCGTGGCTAAACTGGGCATGGGGTGGGGGGGCAGGGATTTTTGCTACCAGTTCTCTGAACCACCCGCCTCCATCGCTACCAGATCGAGCGATCTGGTCCGAACGGGGAACATTTCACCCCTGATTTGCATGTCCTCTTTTGCCTATAGAGCCAGCTGTGACCTCTACATAACCCCTACATGACCCCCCATAGGAATCTGACAACAGCCAATAGAATATTAGAGCACATGTTTTTCCACAGGAACAGGAAGCTCAAATACAAAGTCCAAAGAAGGTATAAAAAAAAACCCCACTCTCAACTTCATTTGGCCAGGTGCCCCAGGACCACAAGCCATGGTGGTTCTGCTTCACCAATGAACTATCTTTCCAATCAGCCTCCATGTTTCCAGTTTCTTTCTCCTGGTTTGGAACTGAACCAGATGGATATTTATCCCAACAGGCTCATACCCAGTAACTACCAGCAGTTCCTTGCATTGATGTTTGCTGTCTCCAAGGTCAATGAAGATGTTCTTCTGCTTCCTAATATCACTCTTGGCTTCCACATTTATGGCCATTACCAGAGGGAAAGGTTTATTTCTTTGAACAGCCTCTCCATCCTCTCCTCACGAGGCCAAGTGGTTCCAGGTTACAAATGTGACCTGCAGGACACTCTGCTGTCCGTCATTGGAGGTCTCAGTGCCAAATCCTCAAGGCAGATGGCCTCCATCTTCAGCATCTTTAAGGTCCCACAGGTAAGAGAGCTCTTCTGGATTCAGAATGGAATAAACAAAGAACAGAAGCTTACTCAGAAGCCAAAGAGATAGTTTTTTTGTGGGAGGTGGCACAAAATGAGCATGTGACTCTAGTTTATTCTTTACTAAAGGGTAGCCATTGTTTTAGTGCCATTTATTCTCTAAAGTTGATGATACCCTCAGTATCAGGTTGATGATTTCTTCTCTTCTCTTTTGAAGAGAACCACAACCAATCAAAATGTATAACTGGTGGTAGGTCAATAAACCACACAGTGGTGACCCCTAAAGTCAAATATCTAACTTTGTCTTTGAAAAAAGAATCTCATTTTCTCCAGCTCGGTGTTGGCTTTGAGTTCTCTCAGGGAGAGAGAAGAGTTTATCCTTCCTTCTTCCGGATTAATCCCAAGGAATCTCCTCAGTATGTGGGTTTAGTTCAGCTGATCCTGTATTTCCAGTGGAACTGGGTTGGGCTTGTGACCTCTGAAGATGACATTGGAGAACATTTCATCTCAAATTTCATACCAATGCTCCAGGAGAAGGAGATCTGCCTGGCCTTCACTGAAAGTTTGAAATTGGATGATATTCAAATTACAATGAAGAAGTTTCTGCTCAATTTCCTTGTCTGGTCTAAAACAGAAGTGTTCATTCTGTTTGGAGGCTTCAGTGTTTCTACCAGTGTAGTTGCGGCAGTAACTAATTATGAAACAATAAAAAAGGCATCATTTAGGAAAGTTTGGATCTTAAGTTCCCATTGGAAAGTTAGTGTGGAGGAATCTCAGGAAGGATTGAAATACATAAAGTTTTTCCATGGGGTCTTGCATTTTAGGGACCACTCCGGGGATGTCTCTGAATTCAGCCACTTCCTCCTGTCTTTAGACCCCTTGAACCCCCAAGGAGATGTCTTTCTCCCTCCATGGTGGGAATTGGTCTTTGGCTGCAAGATCCACAAACCAGGCAAAATCCTTCCAAAGGGGGAAAAACAATGTACAGGAAAGGAGAACGTGCAGAATCTGCCCAATTACACTTTTGAAAGGAGGATGACAGGAGAAAGTTACAATATCTACAATGCTGTTTATGCTCTGGCACACGCTTTGCATGCAATGTATGGATCCAGACCAACCATGATGAGGCTTGGAAAGTGGATCTCCGATGTCCAGTCATGGCAGGTAAGTTCTGATGCTTTTTACTCAGTCCACAGATCCTTAGAGAGGAAGCTCCTCAAATGAATTTCTTCAGTTACCGATTCAATGTCCGCATGCTTCCATATCAAATCATATTAAAACAGCAATTATTTAAAACTGCTAAGAACAATACTTTATTGAAAGAAGGTAGAGGGGGAAAGAGAAGTAAACCAAATCAGGGGTCCATGAGTTCCACAGAGGAAAGACCTTTATAAAGTTCCGAATAGCCTTCAACACTGGCCTAAATTTGAGGAGAAAGTATGAGCTCAAAGCAAGATATCAATCTGTATCTGTGCAACACCTATCAGCAGGTCAGTTGAAATCTTAGTGAGCATAAATGCAGAACAATTTCAGTTTTGCTCAGAATGTGCCCTGAATCCAACTTCTAAAAATACACTCAGATTTTGTTTAATAATGGATGGAAACTAATCAAAGATAGAAGCAACCTAGAAGTAAGGAGAAATTTCATAACATTGAAAACAATCAGGGGAACAGCTTACCTTAAGAAGTTGTGAGTGCTCAATTGATGGAGGTGTTTAAGAAGAGACAGGATGGCCACTTCTCTGAAATTGTATAGGGTCTCCCGCTTAAGCAGGGGGTTGGATTAGAAGACCTCCAAAGACCCTTCCAACTAGGTTATTCTATGTTTCTTTGTCAACAACAGCACACAGCAGGATTCAAAGTAGTCCTAATGGGCTCATGGTCGTAAATTCATCAAAATTTTCTGCATCAAAGGCTAAAATGTTGGACCTCTCTGAACAGTGAAGTGACCAACCAGGTCAGATGCTTCCTTCCACATGGCCCAGTTGGTCAGATCTGGTTCCTGTGTTCTGCTGTCTTTGACTATGAACTAGAGAAAGTCAGTGGAATTTTACATGGTTGTGATAGAAATTATTTTATTGATAGAATGATAGAAATTGTGATAGAAATTATTTATTCATTTCTAAAATTCATTTGTCAATTAACAAGACCTTGGGCCAAAGTAACTATTTGAAATTGCATGTAGCCAAGTATTCCAGGAGGAAAATCCTATAGTCCTATAATTAAATTTGGTGTATGGAACTAAAATGTTTGAATGTCTGATATTTTAATTGAAATAGAGTGGTGTATCATTTAACAGTAGGAAATTATTGCAGTTTCAGAATTAAACATTTGGTGTTGCTCCTGATTGTTCAGATCTTCCTCAAGGGAACTTCTCTAGCTTTTCACAAATCAACCCATCTTCTCAAGATGGCCATTATATGATAATAGAAGCCCTGATGTCTCATTTGTAGCTCTAGCCCAAATACTCCAATTTTTGAAGGTTTCCTTTTCTTTCAGATTCTTGCCTATTTGAGGAATGTGCAGTTCAACAACAGTGCTGGAGATGAAGTCTCCTTCTCAGAAGATGAACTGGGATCTGCTCGTTATGATCTTCTCAATTGGGTTCTCTTCTCCAATCGATCTTTTGAACCCATAAAAGTTGGGCAAGTAAATCCTGAGGCTCCCCTAGGCCAAGATTTCACCATTAACTCTGATGGAATCATCTGGGCCACAAAGGTGAGCTGCAAAGAAATGTTGTAAGTTCACGGAAAGATTCATTCTCTTCTTGTGATGCAGAATATCTTTCTAAATTGAAAAATACTGAATTCAGTCAGAAATCATGGCACTCATTTGGTGAAAAATCTGCTTTGTGTGTAACACACTGGAGGTCTGATTTGTATCAATCCAGAAAGGGTTAGGCTTGGGAACATCATCTGCTTGAAATGCAGGATACAATTACAGCAAGCAACAGTGATTTCCATGGACCATTGACACTCAATTTCTGGTTCTTTCTTTTAGAAATGCTGTAGTTCAGTCACAAGCCTTCCTCTGAAGATTGATATCCCAGTTCCAGTCTTCCACATTCATGGATGTGTCAGGCCTGAATCCCTCAGGACTGTTATTGATTTCTTTTTTTATTATTATTATTGAAAAAGTTTTTCAAATACAGATTTTTCCCCCTTTTTTCTCCCCCCTCCTCCCTAACCCCCCCTCACCACCCATCCCCCTGTGACTTCTTCAAAGTAAGATCCAAATTCATAACAGATTATATAATATTTTACCATCCCCTTACTCCATCCCCCAAATACTGACCCTTTCTTTCTAATAATATTATTACATCCCCCTTTTACCATACGTTTCAAACTAACATTCTACTATAACATTATATAATAACTTCTGATTTAGCATAGTAATATTATTCTAACTCCCAATTTAGCAATAATCTGCCCTTTTTCTCCTCCCCCATACATATATCTGTATATTAATATAACATTTCAAAACAACCTTCCACTTTAAGACTATATAATAAATCCTAATTTAACATTTAATCTTTTGTGTATATTAATATAACATTTCAAAGCAGCCTTCCCCTATAAAACTATATAATAAATCCTAATTTAATATTTATTCAGCTCTATCCATTTCCTCCACTTCAATATATCTCTTAAACATCCCTTTTCTTAAACTAAACAATCAATAAACTAGCCTGTCTCCACCCACTTTCCTACAAAATTACCATACATAACAATTCTTAATATCTTTATTCTTCTGCCCACCCTGCTAAAAAAAATATTCCCTTATATAAATAAAATCAATGACTTTAAACTTATAGTCCATATAATGTCTTCTTTGATGTCTTTCCACTGGATTGTTAACTCCATCACCCATATTAGGGTAACATAACATGATTGCAACAGAATGTTCAAAATCCTCAGTTGTCATCTGCCCCCATCTGTAATGAATATCTTCATGTATATAAAAAAAGAAAACAACCACCCGAGTGACATTGTAATTGTATTCCATATAATATCTGTAGTAGTGGCTTTTTTCAGGATTATTAATTCCCACCATCATAATGGGGTAACAACCAGATCTTCTGCATGCCCCAGCATAGCTCTCTTGCCATATAGCTCAGCATAAACATAATACATTTATCAAAAAAATCCAAAATAGATAATTCCAATCCAAAAATTTAAGGCCCTTTTCACATCCCAAAATTACGGCTTTGCAGAGGTCTGTCATTCTCCTCAGGATAATATTAACCAATACTTCTCCTCAACTATCTTTTCATGTATTCAGTCATCTTTTGAATAACTGGCTTCACTGTTGCCTAATTTAGAAATTTTTGTTTTTGTGAGATCTATTTCTTTTTTTCTTGAATTTTTGTGGGTTTGATCTCCATCCTAATTTCCTTTCTACGAGTTGTATATCAACTGATCGGTTTTCCTTCTGATTTATGACTTGATCTTGTTGGTTTTGCTTTTGTGGCTCATATTTCTTTTCTATAAGTTGTATATCAACTAATTGATTTCCATGCTTGTCTGTGACTTGATGAGTCATCACATTAGAATCCGATGCCACGTCTCTCTTATTTATAGATAATCCAATTGAGGCATCTAAAGAATCCAAAGGCGATTCATCTACAGAAGCCTCTGTAGCTCGATATTTTTCCTTTATTTCCAACTCCTTCTGCTTATCTTGTGTTGTGCATAAAAATGCTGAGCTCCTGTTCAAAAATTTTTGGTGAAATTCTTCCACTTTTTCAACAGTATTTAATTGGTATCTTTCTCCTTGATATCTCAATATTATATCAACTGGAACATCCCATCTAAATAAAATATTTTGTTTTTTAAGCTCAGTCACCAGAAATCCAAATTTCTTTCTTTCCAATAACATCTTAGCCGGTAATTCTTTATATATTTATTTATTTTATTTATTTATTTGTTTAAATTTCTATACCGCCCTTCTCCAAATAGGACTCAGGGCGGTGCACAGCCTAAGTAAAAACAAAGCATACAAAATTTAAAAAACAGTATTAAAATAATTAGATATTCTGGCCATAAATTAAAACAACCCAATTTAAAACCAATTTAAAATTTAGCTCAAGCCAGCCCAGCTAGTTGAAATAAATAAGTATTCAGGGCCCGACGAAAAATCCGGAGGTCTGTTATTATACGTAACTCCGGGGGAAGGTTATTCCAGAGGGTGGGAGCCGTCACAGAGAAGGCTCTCCCCCTGGGGGTCACCAGCCGACATTGTCTGGCGGACGGCACCCTGAGGAGGCCCACTCTGTGTGAGCATACTGGCCGGTGGGAGGCTATTGGTGGCAGTAGGCGGTCTCGTAAGTACCCCGGCCCTAAGCCATGGAGCGCTTTAAAGGTGGTCACCAACACCTTGAAGCGCACCCGGAAGACTACCGGGAGCCAGTGCAGCTCGCGCAGGAGAGGTGTCACATGGGAGCACCTCGTCGCCCCCATAATCCCCCGCGCGGCTGCATTCTGGACCAGCTGGAGCCTCCGGGTGCACCCCAGGGGGAGCCCCATGTAGAGAGCGTTGCAGTAGTCCAGGCGGGAAGTGACTAGTGCCTGAGTGACTGTGCGTAGAGAGTCCCAATCTAGAAAGGGGCGCAACTGGCGTATCAGGCGAACCTGATAAAAAGCCCCCCTGGCCACGGCCGTCAAATGGTCTTCTAAAGACAGCCGTGCGTCCAGGAGGACGCCCAAGTTGCGAGCCCTCTCCGTGGGGGAGAGTGATTCGCCCCCAATAGCCAGTGATGGCGTCAGCTGGCTATATCAGGACGCTGGAAGCCACAGCCACTCGGTCTTGGAGGGGTTGAGACGGAGCCTGTTTCTCCCCATCCAGGCCCGCACGGCCTCCAGGCACTGGGACATCACTTCAAGGGCATCGTTGGGGTGGCCTGGGGTGGAGATGTACAGCTGGGTGTCATCAGCGTACTGATGGAACTCCACCCCTAAGCCACGGATGATCTCACCCAGTGGCTTTACATAAATGTTGAACAGAAGGGGCGAGAAGACCGACCCTTGTGGCACCCCACAAGCAAGGTGCCTCGGGGTCGACCGCTGCCCCCCCGTCAACACAGATTGCGACCGGTCAGAGAGGTAGGAGGAGAACCACCGCAAAATGGTGCCCCCCACCCCCAACCCCGCCAACCGGTGCAACATGATACCATGGTCGATGGTATCAAAAGCCGCTGAGAGGTCTAACAGGACCAGGATAGAGGAGCAACCCCTATCCCGAGCCCTCCAGAGATCATCCACCAACGCGACCAATGCCGTTTCCGTGCTGTGCCCAGGTCGGAAGCCGGACTGGAGCGGGTCTAGATAGACAGTTTCATCCAGGTACCGGGGAAGCTGTTGTGCTACCACACTCTCAACAACCTTCGCAACAAAGCGAAGGTTGGAGACTGGACGATAGTTAGCCAAAACAGCCGGATCCAGATATATCCAAATCTTTCTTCCAAACAATTGCAAAGTAGAATTAAAAGATTTTTGTACAATATTATTTCTTATTTCTTTATCTGTAAAATAAATCACCACATCTCTAGGCAGTTGCCTTTGCTTTGCAATCCAGGAATTTATTCTATAGACTCTATCAATCCTACAAAATACTTCCTCAGGATGAACCTTTAAGATCCCAGCCAGAATTTCAGAAGATATTTTCCTTAAATCATCTCTGTTATTTTCCTGTAATCCTCTCAGTCTAATCGCATATTCTGTGAGATTATGTTGCATCATTAAAACTTCTTTTTCAATCCGTTGTTTTATATTTTCAGCATTGCAAGTCTCATGATCAACTTCCATTTTAGGTTTTTCTTCTAAACTATTGTCTTGAGTGTTTATCAAATCATTTTCAATTCTTTGTATTTTATTGTCCAAATTATCCTCAATTTCATCCATTTTAGACTCTAACAAATTAATATTTGTATCCAACTTCATAGCAATTTCTGAAAAACCATTAGTCACTTTTGTAATCTTTCGTTGCAAAGTATCAAACTTTAATTGCACCAATTCTTTAATTTCCTGCTTAAATTTTTCAAAGTTCTGGTTCATAATCTCATCCCTTCTTACAATCTCCTCCAAGAGAAATTCAATTATATTAAAATCAGTTTTCTGAGTCTGTAGGTTTAGAACTTGTTCATATAGTTTGTAGATGGGGGAAACCCCCCCCCCTGCTTGTTTGTCTGGCTTTGTTAGTCTAAACGCCATATTTCCACACAGACAAACTCTTTTAGAAAAGAAAAGAAAAAAAAAAAAAAAAAGCTTCTTTCCAAACAAGATCAATATCAAATCTCCAAAAAAGAGAAAACACAAAAGTGGAGCTTTTTCTTCAATTGTAGCCAGGAGTATTTATTCCGCTACTTTGTGGCTTAATAAGAAACGGAAGGACTTTCCCTTTTCAGCTTTCCCTGCTCAAGCCTCGGCAGTCACCATTTTAAAAATTCTTTTTTGCTTTCTTCAATATCTTTTACTAAATAAATAAAAATACTTGCGATTTAGGATCACAGGTCCAGATCTCATCCTATTTACTTAGTCTGTTAATTTTCTTTAAAAGGCTTGTTCTCGTCGCCTGGCTCTGCAAAAAGGCAGAGGTCTCCCAAAGCCCGGAGCAGCGGTGAGGGAAATAGGGAGCCTCATCCGCTTCGCCCCCAAGAGTAAAAAAAAAAACTCTGGGGGCTTCGCGGAGAGCTCTACCTGCCCTCACCTGCTCTATCTCACATTTCCTTATGGAAATGGAGTTTTTCGAGCTGCCTTTCCATTGTAAAGGCGGCTCTTTACAGGCAATGGGGCTGGCGGTCCCAAGGGACCGTCTGGCAGTGACGGAGAGCAAACCAGAAGTCAGGACTGTTATTGATTTCTGATTGAGAGTGGCAAAGTATTTTTTTAGAAAAAAATCTGAACATAGAAGTAGGAATAAGGAAGGGAAATAGGAATGGGAAAAGACTGAATTCAGCAGGTTCATTGCTTAGGTCATCTCAAGCATTTCTCTTTTCTCTTTTAGAAGGTGCCCTTTGGCAGGTGTGGCATGAAGAGGTGCCATGCAGGAGAGAGGAGGAGTGTTCCAGAGGGCAATCCGGTTTGTTGCTACCAATGTGATGCTTGTCCAGAAGGGACCATGTCTAATCAGACAGGTAGAGTGTCAACGGTCCAACTAGTGAACCCAACAAAAGGAGGCACTCTCAGGAACTTTGTAATCCCCAAAGCAAAACGTTATTGGATACACCATTTCGGTACTGAAGAATCAAAACCAGCTCTGGTTTTTCCCACACGAGGCCTATATGGTTAAACAATAGCTTGTCCTTCTCCCCACCCCTGGCTGTTCACATTGTCCAATTATGAATCGTCCTTTTGTTTTGAGAACAGTTCACTTCTTTGTCGGACACCTTCAGCAGTGGCCTTGGTAGGTTCTTGGCTCTCACTGTCTGTCTCTGGAGCATCTGCACTTTTTCTCACCCTTCCCTCCCAGTTCTTTGGCAAATTGAATAGTGATAAGACTCAAATGTTTCAAAAGCAGTTCAATCTTGATATAGAGCAGACATCAAATGTAAATCTTCCAGGATCAAGGAAGACATTAAATCTTCTTTTTTTGTTGTTATTGTTGTCATTTGTGTTGTTATTGATATGCACTCCTACTTTTCAGCAGAACCTTACAGTAAATCTCCCTACACCAGAGGACATTTCCTAATCCTCAGCAATTGCTTGCAGGATAGATTTAGGGCACAATTTGTGAATCCCCAACATGCATTTCTACTCCTAATCTAATATCCAACAGGTAAAACCAACTTCCAATCTTTTCCTGAAGAAGTGGTGTGTGTGGTTAAGCTTTATCATTTAGAGTGTGATTCTTTTGGCAGCCCCATCAACCTCTGAGGAAATAGACCTGCCAGAGAAAGAGGAGATCCATCTATTTATGTCTCTTTAATAGAATAGGAGCGATCAAATAAGTCTGAATGAACACATTTGAAGTACAAAGCAGAGAGATTAAGGCAGGGATCATGTACACACAAACAAAACAGCAGCATTTCTGGATCGGTCAATTTTCTGTGTGTTCCATTATAAAGTAGGGGGAAAAACAGGCAGGAACCTCAAACTGAAAGCCACATTACTCGTGGAAGTGCATAGTGAATGGATAGCTAGAACTGGATACATCCTTGTCTCTGGATAATCTATCCCCAGGATCATCATAAATAAAAGACAATTTGCTGTTTTTGATTCCCCAAAAATTGCACAGCGGCCGGTTTCACTCCCTTTCTGCGTAGGACAATAGCAGAAAGGCAACACTCATATCTTCTCTGCAGGAGGGATAATGGTAGATGTCCCTGAAATTCTTAAATAGACTCTTGATTTCAGATGCAGCTCACTGTGAACCCTGCCCAGAAGACCAATATCCCAACAAGGACAAGGACCAATGCATTGCCAAGAAGATCCACTTCCTTGCCTATCAGGACTCCCTGGGATACATTTTAGTTTTTCTTGCTCTTTTCCTCTCTGTGATCACTTCTGCAGTCCTGGTGATTTTCTATAAGCATCATGACACACCGGTTGTCAAGGCCAACAACAGAGAACTCACCTACATCCTGCTGGTCTCCCTCCTGCTCTGCTTCCTCTGCTCCTTCCTTTTCATTGGTCAACCAGGGAAGCTCACCTGTCTCTTCCAACAATCTGCCTTTGCCATTCTCTTTTCCCTGGCAGTTTCCTCTGTGTTGGCAAAAACTGTCATGGTGGTTCTGGCCTTCATGGCCACCAAGCCTGGAAACAGGTCAAGGAAACTCTTAGGGAAACCACTGACCAACTCCATTGTCTTAGCCTGTCCTCTGGTCCAAACAATACTTTGTGCCACCTGGCTGACAACTTCTCCCCCATTTCTTAACTTGGACTTCCACTCCTTGTTTGGAGAGATCATCTTGGAATGTAAGGAAGGCTCAGCTTTAATGTTTTACACTGTGCTTGCCTACCTAGCTTTTTTGGCCCTCATCAGTTTCACTGTGGCATTTCTAGCTAGGAAATTGCCTGATAGTTTTAATGAAGCCAAGTTCATTACTTTTAGCATGCTGGTCTTTTGCAGTGTTTGGATCTCCTTCCTCCCCACCTACCTGAGCACCAAAGGGAAGTCCATGGTGGCTGTGGAGATCTTCTCCATTTTGGCCTCTGGAGCTGCTCTCTTGGCTTGTATCTTTTTCCCCAAATGCTACATTATTCTGCTGAGGCCGGATCTGAATTGTAGAGAAAATATAGTAAGGAACAAGAATTTCTAACTAATGCAAGGATCGGCCCCATTTATATTTGTCATTGAGGCATGTTTGGAATGTGATAAAAATTCTATAAAATGATGACATGAAGAAAGATTTTCTCCATTAATGAATTCCTTATCATATTCTGTAAGTGGCAACAATTTAACTGTGGTCAACAATAATTACCCATACCTTTTTTTTTTTGTCATGTCTTCAGCATGTACTCAGTGAGATGCTGTGCCTTGCATGAGTGAAACTTTGTTAAATATATGTTTATTATTTTCATAATAATATGGGCCTGGTGGCTCAGCAGACTGATAGCATTGTGATTAACACCAGCTGTCTGCAATTACTGTAAGTTCAAATCTCACCAGGCTCAAGGTTGACTCAGCCTTCCATCCTTTCTATGGTAGGTAAACTGAGGACCCAGTTTGTGGGGGCAATAAGCTGACTTTCTATAAATATACAAAAGTATGAAGGCTATTGCTTAATGCATTGTAAGCCGCCCTGAGTCTCTGGAGAAGGGCGGCATATAAATCAAATTAAAAAATAAATAAAGAGGATATATTTTTATTTTCTTTAGTATTTTCTTTAGTTTATTTTTAAGCTAGCGTTTTAAAGGGTTGAGTTCAGTATCAGTGTTTTAACCATCTATGGATCCTTCCCCAGTTGTCTGAGGCTTTATAGAACTTCCCCTAAAGGTAAAGGTAAAGATTCCCCTCGCACATAGGTGCTAGTTGTTCCCGACTCTAGGGGGCAGTGCTCATCTCTGTTTCAAACCCGAAGAACCAAAGCTGTCTAAAGACGACTCCGTGGTCATGTGGCCGGCATGAGTAAATGCCAAAGGTGCACGGAATGCTGTTACCTTCCCACCAAAGGTGGTCCTTATTTTTCTACTTGCATTTTTTATGTGCTTTTGAACTGCTAGGTTGGCAGAAGCTGGGACAAGTAACGAGAGCTCATCCCGTTACACGGCACTAGGAATTCGAACTGCTGATCTGCCAGCCTTTTGATTGACAAGCTCAGTGTCTTAGCCACTGAGCCACCATGTCCCATATAGAACTTCCCTACCACTCCTCAATTATTTTTGAAATAGTACAGTTTAAATACCCAACCCATCCAGATCTACTGTACATCCTCATCAAGGTCAGGCAGGATTTCCCTCAGATGGATGAGCAAAGTACGTCACAACTGTATGCAGCATATTAATAATTTCTTTTGACATTTCAGCTCTTTGACTTTCTTGGAAAACCACAGTGCTCTATAAGATCCATATGCACAGAGAGCCTGCACGGGAATAATTCCACCCATGCCCAGAATCACAATCAAATTACCTTAATGGGTAATGTTCTCAGCAAGGTCATCCAGGGCATGACAGTCATCTCACCTTCCTAAGTAAAGTCAGGAGGCACCTGCAAATCACTCAGTCCTGTGACATAGTAATTTAAAGATGATAACCAGCACCTTGAATGGGGCCTTGGAGGAACCTGGGAACCACTGCAGCTCATGCAAGAGAAGTCTAACATGGGTGAACCTAGAAACGTCCAATATTGTGAGCACCTTTTCATTTTGGACCAGCTGCAACTTTTAAGGGGTCTTCAAATGTAGACCCAATGCAAGAACATGGCAGTAGTCCAAATGGGAAGGGACCAAGGCAGAACTGCCAGTCCTGGGTAGTGCACAATTGGTATGTTGATGATAACATCTCCATTTCCATCGGATTTCTCATGTGTGCAAATTGGCCTCTAAATTGCAACCTTGAATTCTCTGGTTTTCAATAAACTTTAACAAAATATCTATGGCAATGTAACTAATGTGTTCATTTATTAAGAGAAACCTTCATGGTTGAAGATAGTAACAATAGAAGGGTGGGGGAAACTAGAGTTTTCCTAATTATGAATAGGTATGCTTACATCATCTATAACTTATGAATTTATCATTTTCTCCTTCTTTCTGAAATGTATAAATATGAATGTACATTTTTGTCTTTAAGTATCCCTCCCACTTTTCTCTGGGCAGGATTTATACAAGTTTATTTTATTTTTTTATTTTATATTGGATTTCTATACCGCCCTTCTCCCTAAGGACTCAGGGCGGTGTACAGCCAGATTAAAAAAAACATGCAGAACAAATATTAAAAACAATTAAAAGATATATAAATTTGGCCCAATTAAAACTCATTTACCAATTAAAAACGTTTAAAACATTTAAAAACAGTTAAAAATTTCATCTTAAGCCAGCCCGGCTTGTTTAAATAAATGGGTTTTAAGGGCGCGACGGAAGGCACCGAGGTCTTGGATTCTCCTTATCTCTGGGGGCAGCTGATTCCAGAGGGTGGGAGCCCCCACAGAGAAGGCCCTCCCCCTGGGGGTCACCAGCCTGCATTGTTTGGCTGATGGCACCCCGAGGAGGCCCTCTCTGTGGGAGCGCACGGGTCGCTGGGAGGTCGTCGGTAGCAGCAGGCGGTCTCGCAGATAGCTAGGCCCTATGCCATGGAGCGCTTTAAAGGTGATAACCAACACCTTGAAGCGCACCCGGAAGACAACTGGGAGCCAGTGCAGCTCGCGCAGGAGCGGTGTTACATGGGAGCGCCATGCTGCTCCCGTCACTACCCGCGCTGCTGCGTTCTGGACCAGCTGGAGCCTCCGGGTGCTCCTCAAGGGGAGCCCCATGTAGAGAGCGTTGCAGTAGTCAAGGCGAGAGGTGACGAGGGCATGAGTGACTGTGCACAGGGAATCCCGATCAAGAAAGGGCCGCAACTGGCGAATCAGGCGAACCTGACAAAAGGTCCCCCTGGTTACAGCCGTCAGATGTTCCTCCAAGGACAGCTGCATATCCAGGAGGACTCCCAGATTGCGAGCCCTCTCTGTGGGGGCCAATGACTCGCCCCCAATAGTCAGTGATGGAGTCAACTGACTATATCGGGATGCCGGGAGCCACAGCCACTCAGTCTTGGAAGGGTTGAGCTTGAGCCTGTTCCTCCCCATCCAGACCCGTACAGCCTCCAGGCACTGGGACATCACTTCAAGGGCATCGTTGGGGTGGCCTGGGGTGGAGATGTACAGCTGGGTGTCATCAGCGTACTGGTGGTATCTCACCCCAAAGCCACGGATGATCTCACCCAGTGGCTTCACATAAATGTTGAACAGAAGGGGCGAGAGGACCGATCCCTGCGGCACTCCACAAATGAGAGGCCTCGAGGTCGACCTCTGCCCCCCTGCCAACACAAACTGCGACCGGTCGGAGAGAAAGGAGGAGAACCACTGCAACACGGTGCCTCCCACCCCCAACTCTTCCAGCCGGTGCAGCATGATACCATGGTCGATGGTATCAAAAGCCGCTGAGAGGTCTAACAGGACCAGAACAGAGGAACAACCCCTGTCCCGAGCCCTCCAGAGATCATCAACCAACGCGACCAATGCCGTTTCTGTGCTGTGCCCAGACCTGAAACCCGACTGGAACGGATCTAGATAAGATGTTTCCTCCAGGAATTGCGGAAACTGTCGTGCGACCACACTCTCAACAACCTTCGCCATAAAGCGAAGGTTGGAGACAGGACGATAGTTGGCCAATATTGCCGGATCCAGGGACGGCTTCTTGAGGAGAGGCCTCACCACCGCCTCTTTCAAGGCGGTGGGGAAGTAACCCTCACTCAACGAAGCGTTGATAACACCCTGGAGCCAGCCTCGTGTAACCTCCCGGGAAGCCAGTACCAACCAGGAGGGACACGGGTCCAGTAAACATGTGGCCGCACTAAGTCTCCCCAAAATCCTGTCCACATCATCAGGAGTCACAGCATCAAACTCCTCCCAGATAACATTCTCAAGACTATTCCTCGTCACCCTGCCCTGATCTACCCAGTCAGAGTCCAAATCCCCCGGATCTGGGCGATTTTGTCATACAGGTATTGTCCGAAATCCTCCGCCCTGCCTTCTAAGGGATCCTCCCGCACTCCTGGATGGAGCAGGGCGCGGGTCACCCTAAACAGGGCAGCCGACGATTCCCTGATGACGCAATAGAGGCGGAAAAGTAGTTAGACTTTGCCGTCTCTATCGCCACTAGGTAGGCCTTAATATGCGACCTTACCAGTGTTCGATCAGATTCAGCGAGACTGGCCCTCCAACCGCTCTCCAGGCGTCTTTTCCGGCGCTTCATTTCCCTCAGCTCCTCAGTAAACCAAGGAGCCGCACGGGATCGGCATCGGGTCAGAGGCCGCAAAGGCACAACTCGGTCCAAGGCCCCACCAGCCGCCCGATCCCAGGCGGCTACCAGGTCCTCGGCCGAGTCATGTGCTAGATCCTCAGGAAATGGCCCAAGCTCCGTCTGGAACCTATCAGGATCCATCAGGCGCCTGGGGCGGATCCATCTAATTGGATCCACCTCCCTGCGGCGAGGGGTCGCGGTTCGAAGATCTAGGCGAAGGAGTGAGTGGTCAGACCATGACAAGGGTTCCATGTCTATATCCCCTATAACAAGTTGCCCTCTTAACAATCAATATTGCCATGAGACTTAGTTGGTTTTTTTGTCCTGCAGTTGAATCCACAGTGGTTTTTGGATGGAGGGGGCCTGAAGGATTAAGCAGTTGTAATAGCCACACAAACATTACAAACAGTGCTTGTTAAGCAACAATGATGAAAAATACCTTTGCAACCTATCACGTTGATGACATTCGCAGATCTGTAAAGCATACAAAAACTCAAGTCCTTCCATAATGGTTGCAACAGATTCACTTAGTGAACACTTCCAACATGGTTTTGAAAGCAGCCACCAATGACCTCATTCAGTGGTGGCCACTTGCAAAATGGCGGCCGTTTCTGTAATTGTGCAATGCAGCCGTTTGACAGCCGTTTGCTTCCCTCATACGATCTGTGCAGCATTGCAGAAAGCTCCCATGGTAGGTGAAGTTTCAGGTGGGTGACAAGATCAGTGACTTTTGGTCTATGGCAGTGGTTCTCAGCCTGCGGTCCAAAGACCCTGAGAGAGGCCATAACATCATCACATGGGGTCTGCGAAGGCTTGAATAAAAGTTATGATTAAAATCTTGAGTTACATCTTGG